CCCCCCCCCCTCCCCCAAAGGTAAGTTTGTTGTGTAGACGTCCATTGTGGACAAACCCTATCCAGAGCCGTGATTTATGTAATGCCACTTTTTTGGTTAAGCCTCTGCCTATATTTCACCTCCATCCCCTGGCACGGATCGATTTCAAAAAAACCTAGTAAACGGAGACCTATGGCTTTGTTATACAGTTTGCTACCGCTCCGTAAGTTTCTAAAATCGTGGTGTTTTCAAAAGATTTGCTGTGAGACTGAGGGTTGTGAATGAACTGTGAATATCGTGTGTAAATTTTGCCAATGCATAGTGAAAACAAGATGGTTGAAATAGGACCTTACACATTAATATTCATATGATATTATTGATATACTGGTATTTTCTTTGGGTATTCGTAAAAGTAAAATGTAAATATTCAACTACACAAAGAATGTTGAAATACAATAAAATATCACTTAGTTTTCAAAATGTTTCTCTTATAAATTTTACACACTCTATACATGTGCTTTCCGTTTTCTAATGTCTTATTACAGGTATTTTCAAAGTCAAAGGCCGGCACAACTTGTTGAAACACTTACTTAATAATCTGAATATAACATATATTTAAAATGTTTAAATTGCTACAAAATATTTAAAAACTTCTCATGAAATGACTGTTGCAAATGAACATAATAATTCTAATATAAAATATATTTGATTAAAATGGAAAAAAATATATATAAAACTCTATTCCCAGATCAAAAAATAAAATATCGCCAAGCGCCTACTCTACCACAAGACCACACAAGATAGTATCTAACAGGCATATATTAAAACTAGGCCATTGGTACACTTTTGCCGCGGTGTACTCAGGCCTATCTGCATGGTTTTGCTAGGTACACTGCGGCGGTGCACGCAACCACTTTGTTTTTTTAAAGTTTAAAGGTCAAAAGAATAGAAAGTTGGAAAAATGATATTTTTAATCTCTGATAAATTGTAAATCATCTCTTACTTTTACCAGTGAATTCAGATTTCAGTGATATCTCAGTCTCACACTCACTGACTGGATCTACTTAACTCTTCTACTAAGTTAGTGAGGGTCATAAAATCGTATTTCGGTAAGTTACCAGATAAAATACATTTGTCCACTTTAGAATATATGTCAATAAATAATAAATGAATAATCATTTAAAAAAAATATGCATATCAGTTTTAGGTATTTATTTGCGAATCTATTCCATAACATGAATTTATGCACAACTACAACAATCGTTATAATTAGCGGCTCGACAATCAATACACAAGTTTATCTTAATCATGTACTTCTTTACCTTTTTGGCATATCCGGTCCAAATATAGCCAGAACAAAACAAAAATCGTAGACTAAATAAAATTTCGTAAACATAAAAAAACCCAAACAAACCATTCAACTCGGTCATAAAAAACAAATAAAAATCGTCACTTATAAAACGCTCACATGATCAGGATTATCAGTATGATGCAGAAAGTTACAGAAAAATTAAAATTACAGAAATTCATTGCAACCAACAAACTTTCATCCGTATTTCATGGCACTGTACGCTAATAGTGTCTCAATTTTACGTTACTTTGTATTCTATCAAATAAAGTATTCATTTAATTTAACTTTAGCAACAAAGTATTTGTAACAATATATTTATTTATAAGGTTTTAAAGTTTCTTTGGCAAAGAACCTTGAGTCCGGGCATTTCATTTAGAGAGTAACTTAATACGAACCTACAAAACTTATTCTTCTGTGATCTAGTAGGCAACAACCTTTAAAAATAGATGTAGAAATCTTTTTTGCCCATTTTATTACGTCAAAAGTGCACGACCATTTTATACCAAGGCTAGAACCTAGAATTCTCAACAAGAATGTCATCTTTCCATGAAGACCATATAGTTTGGCACTGTTGACAAATACACGTACGCGTTAAGAATACAGTAGTTCCAGTACTGCTTTTTCCTGGCACATACTGTTTGTGATTTTATTTGGATATTATTTTTGACTTTTGCTATTGATTTTATTTAAGATAAAGATCACCTGCTGGAAATAATTTTTCTAAGAATGCTCATAATTTGTTTTTTCAAGTATATTTTTTTAAGGATCATACCTCCCCCCCCCCCCCCCCCCCCCCCCCCCCACACACACACACACTTTTTGTTTCTATCAAATTCTTAGTTACAAAAAAGGAAAATGGAATTGGTGATGTCAGAATCTAAATTAATTATCGTCTTAATATCGCCTCGGAAATTAAGGTCGGGGATGAAAGATTAGAGACAGTAGGCAGCTTCAATTATTAAGGAGCAATAGTCTCGGAAGAAGGCTCCAAGCCCGAATTGATGTCCATGATTGCCCAGACCACAACAGCACTAAAGAGGCTCAAGAAAATATGGAACGACAAAAATATAGCCCCAGCAACAAAATCAGTCTGATGCGCTCATTAGTCCTCTCCATTTTCTTGTATGCCTGCGAGTCCTGGACATTAACAGCAGAACTTAAAAGAAAAATAAAGGCGATGGAGATAAGATGTTTCAGAAGCATTCTTGGCATCTGTCATAGAGACCATATCTCCAATGAACAAGTGAATGAAAGGATTCATCAAGCAATTGGGCAGTACGATGACCTCCTGGTGACCGTAAAAAAGCGCAAACTAGAATGGTATGGTAACGTGACAAGGAAAAAGGGCTCGCCAAAGAAATCACGTAGGGCACAACGAGAGGAGGGAGTTGAAGAGGAAGACAGAGAAAAAGATGGGAGGATAACACCAAAGAGTGGACGGGACTAAAACTAGGCGATGCTGTGCGAAGTGCAGAAAACCGAGACGAATGGAGGAGGATAGTTTTCATGTCATCTGTGCCGCCCCAATGGTCCAAGGACTACGGGACATGACGATGATCGTCTTAATGGGTCAAAACTGTGACCTATACTACCCCACCTCCCCCAAATCTGCTTGTCCTTACCCCTACATCAACTCACTTCTATCTAGTCTCTCACTAATTAATTTCTCTTCATCACCCCCCCCCCCTCAATTTAAGTCTCTCTACTTTTTCTCTCAAACTACTTTCCCACACGTTACCCCAATCTACTTTTTAATGGGTCAAAACTGTGACCTATACTACCCCACCTCCCCCCAATCTGCTTGTCCTTACCCCTACATCAACTCACTTCTATCTAGTCTCTCACTAATTAATTTCTCTTCATCCCCCCCCCCCCCTCAATTTAAGTCTCTCTACTTTTTCTCTCAAACTACTTTCCCACACGTTACCCCAATCTACTTTTCCTTACACTCTTCCTCAATCTACATCCCCTTACTCTCCCTCCACTACTAGGTTCTTCGCAAAGCCCCCTTTTCCCCCCCACGTCCAATACCCCCTCCCCCTTTCCCTGCCACATCCCAAACTATTTCCCTCACCTCCACATTCTCCTTTTCAACTACTACAATCTACCACCTACTCTCCTTGTCCCTTTCTGTTATCTTCTCCACGTACACCCAATGATAACGCAAATGACCAAAACCAAGTACACGTGTGTATATTGAACGCGTCGAGAGGACTCGAAATCAAATACGGGGTAGCAGTGGTGGTTGGGAAGGATAAGAGAACTCTTTGGACAATTCCGGCCTCTCATTTATCTATTTTGAGGCACGGACTGTTTTTATTTGTAATTTATTTATTTTGTTTGAGTCTTAACTACTCTATTCGTATATCACACAAGTCATTTTTTTAAATCTCTATTCGTTTTTCACAAATGAACCTTTCTTTAACCCTTCATGAACCCGTCATTAACCCACCATGAACCCTTCTTGAATCCTTCATTAACCTTTTATTAACCCTTCATTAACCCTCCATGAACCCGTCATTAACCCACCATGAACCCTTCATGAACCCGTCATTAACCCAACATGAACCCTTCATGAACTCACCATAAAACCTTCATGAACCCACCATGAACCCTTCATGAACCCTTCATTAACCCTTTATGAACCCTTCATGAACCCTTCATTAACCCTTTATTAACCCTTCATTAACCCTTCATGAACCCGTCATTAATCCACCATGAACCCTTCATGAACCCTTTATTAACCCTCCAATAACCCTTTATGAACCCGTCATTAACCCACCATGAACCCTTCTTGAATCCTTCATTAACCCTTTATTAACCCTTCATTAACCCTTCATTAACCTTTCATTAACCCTTCATGAACCCTTCATGAACCCTTCATTAACCCTTAATGAACTCTTGATGAACCCACCATGAACCCTTTATTAACCCTTCATTAACCCTTTCTGAACCTGTCATTAACCCACCATGAACCCTTCATTAACCCTCTATTAACCCTCCATTAACCCTCCATTAACCCTCTATTAACCCTATATTCGCCACGTACGTTTGTCCCAATGACTCCATTTAAAAATTAGCCCAACGGTATAGCGGACCCGGACATGTTTCTGTAACTATTCCTGTCTAAATGACCAGCGGGCTATGTGAGTATGTGATTAAGCCTGGCGTGACCACAACTGCTTGGGTCAGGCTACTACAGGCTGTGTCAATATTTTTCGTATGACGCCTGTTCCGGCTAAACATTTTCGCTGACCACGGCTCTTCGGTTGCCCGTTGCTCCAAAGTTCCCGCCACTTTGAGGAGCCGTGTAAATGTCGAAGTCGAGCAGAAGCACCGCCACACGTCGACAGAAAGTAAGATTTTTTTATATTTTTTTTTGTCTCATCATTTATTGTTAGTGATCATAAAAGTAAAGTAGCAGATTATACACATAGCGTGGCACGTGACACGCGCAAGTCAATGAGTTTTGTGCAGCAGATGTTTGGCTGGTGTAAACCTTCAGTTTAGGTTTGTATTACCGGTTACCTGCCGTATAAATGTTAATGTATCCATTTTAAAGGAGACAAAGAGATAGGTGAGCACGAAACAAAAGAAGACTACTCTCTTGGCTATTTGAAAATAAGAGTTCCATTTCTTGAACTAATAATAATTTCAGGCAGGTCGTAAGTGCCCGAATTCTTGTTACAACCCATTTTTACCAATGCATCATTTTGAACCAAATAATAGACAAGTACAAATATTTAATTTTATCTACTAGAATTATCAAGACCAATCACCATTATAGTATCACAAATTAAATATATATCTATATCTATATATAAATACACACACACATATATATAGTGACACCTCGACTTACGAAACGCTCTAAATACGAATTTTTCGAGATGAGAATTTTTTCACAAGCCATTTTGAGTTCTACATACGAAACTAGATTCGAGAATGCTTAAGTACGGTGGAGCGTGAGAGAGCGATCTCATTGCTTCACGTCATGCAACACAGAGAAATCTACAAATATAGTGTAATCGGTACTAGGTTGATTGGAATAAGTACTTAGTTATCACACTCTGCACCCCATATTGTTCACTTCATCAATTTTATGATGGAAGGTGATTTTCTCACTACATACATACGCATCGTGGACAACCAAAGATTTGATAAATAAAAATGTGTAATGGTAAACAAAAAACACAGTTATGGCCTAAAATGCATCAAATTCTCATTCGTGTGATCCATGTCTTTGCCGTTTCTTAATTTAGGTAAGTTTTAGTAGTTATTATTATTATTATTATTATTTAAAAAAATTATTATTTTTAAATCGGAGAACGGATTAGTTCATTTCCCGTAGGATGTCATGAGAAATTGGCTTTCGAGATATGAACTTTTTGAGATACGAAACACCGTCAGGAACGTATTAAGTTCGTGAGTCAGCTGTATTTTGATATTGATATGGCGAACCGCAAAGAAGTCCACTCTCTCACTAAATGGGGTTACGACGCAGACCTGTTTACTCTTATGATTTTGGCGTACAATGTACGATTTTGAGGTTATAAATTATATATACTACATGTTTATTTTTTACTATTAAGATAAGGTATTGAACGATTTTGTGATGATATTGTACGATTTTAAGAGTTTGAGTGTAAACAGGTCTGACGACGTAAAGCTACACATTTTCAAAGGGGTGACTCGCGGTGACACAATGTCAAAAGGAAATAATTTATAATCAAGATCAAGTTTAGGCCTAGTGATAATAATTTATATCTCCTTGAGAAGACAACATTTAAAGATTTTCTCATTGGGAAAAATTCTAGTTTAATTGTATAAGACCGGTCAGTTTCTTTCCTATTAAATCCAAATAGTTCCCCGTTTAAGAAGAAGTAATTGAACGTGGAATTCCCCTTATTTAAACACCGTAAGGCCAGCTGGTCTCAGGTAGACTTAGTAGCGGTGAACAAGTATAATTGATACTCTGTTAAAATATCCGGATACTTTAAAAGAATAAAAATGAAAAGCCTAAAAACTATTCTTCTATTTTACTTTGTTTATAACTTTGTTTGTATGATTTGCTTGATTGTTTGTTTGCTTGATTGTTTAATTGATATATTTCTTGCGTTCTTTTTGCTGTTATGAATTTTTATTTACCTATTACAAACAGTTGAAATTACTGTCTCGTTTCAAATGTACAGGATGTATCATCTTCTGCCTGTGGACATCATAGGAAACATAAATTAAACAAGTTAACGAAAATGAAACCCTGTTATAGCCAACATTGAAGCAAGCGCCGTCTGTGGACACTGCGATAACTCACCATCGGCACGGATAGATTTCATAACAAACGAACAAAAAAACAATAACAACAACAAATTTAAAAACATGAAAAAAAATAGAAACAGCGCTAATACTCTCAAAGGAAAAATGCGCTCATGCTTATTCAAGGAGAAAAATCTTGTTTTCTCCTGTCAGCAGCACACGAAGCAGTGGCGTAGCGAGGGTGTTTGGCGCCCGGGGACAAGATTCGCGCCCGGGGACAAGATCCATTTTTAGCGCCCCTTTATCTTTTTTTTTAAACTCTCAAATCCATTATTTTCATCAATAAAATAATAACAAAGCACATTTTGGCGCCCCTAACTAGCTTGGCGCCCGTGGACATCTGTCCCCCTGCCCCCACCATCCTACGCCTCTGACACGAAGGCACACTGACACCACATTAGATCGTACGCAGGTTGTGTGTGGGATGGTTTGCCTCGCTAATCAGTCCGCTTCTGAGCTGCGTGTTGCCAAAGTCTTGATGACATCTTCTTCTTCTATATCTTAAGGGCCCACGATCAATTTATTGATCATTTTGGCTCCTATGCATGTAGATGGGATTTGCAATGTTTCTGTTACTGGTGGTGATGAGGAAATTATGCACTAGGGGTTTGAAGGCTTGAGGCAATAGACACAAATGTGTCTAGTGTTGTCGCCTCAACTATTCCTTTTGAAAGATGGTTCCAGTCCCTGATTGTCTTGGGCAGGAATGAGCTGCTCCTATACTGGCTTCTTGCTGGTATGAGCCTGAATGGCGCGTTATGAAAAGATTAGCTACGAAAATGAGGATTTACAATGAACTCCAGGAATCGTGTACATGTTGGCCATTTTATTATGAAAGCCAGATGACCAAAAATGGCGACAACGGCCGTGTACACATTTTTCTATGTGTCGATATTCATAACCGAATAAGTGGCTGCGTCACTAGGGGGTGCCTGGGGTGCCTAACATCGTCCCGCGGGAACCTAACATCGTCCCGCGGCACACCTAACATCGACTTGCGGCACACCTCAAATCGTCCCGCGGCACACTTAACATCGACTTGCAGAACACCTCACATTGTCCCGCAGCACACCTAATATCGTCCCGCGGCACACCTCACCTACATCGTCCCGCGGCACACCTCACCTACATCGTCCCGCGGCCCACCTCACATCGTCCCTTCGTCCGGAGGCACGCCTAACATCGTCCCGTGGCACACTTAGTATCGTCCCGCGGCACCCCTAACATCGTCCGGCGGCACGCCTAACATCGTCCCGCGGCACACTTAGTATCGTCCCGCGGCACACCTAACATCGTTCGGCGGCACGCCTAACATCGTCCCGGGGCACACCTCACATCGTCCCGCGGCACACCTAACATCGTCAAGCGGCACACCTAACATCGTCCCACGGCGCTCACGTTGCGGAGTACTGCTAGAACTAATATATTATATGATCTGGTATTAAGAACTGCTCTTTATCACGTCCTCATTTCGTCTTATTTTTCATGTGTATATTCTTCTTAAATCTTATCATTGTTTATCACTCTCACTGAACCTGCGAGTAGCACAATCCCTGCTAAAAGCACCCCCCCCCCTTTTTTTGATCTGATCCCAATAGTTTGTGCTATTCTCAGGTTTCACTGAAATCAGGAGAATCAGGTGAAATTGCTGTTTAATTTTTCATGGTCTCAACTGTCCTGGCACACAAAAATTGCCTCTACACCGGTAGTACACGAAAGAAGGGACGGGGTGTGGGGGGGAAGCCTCCTTTAGTTTAAACCCACAACAATTCTCTTCTTATCACCCGAGGTTTGTGTGCGTACCTGGATTATAACTCACCAACATAATCATCTCTCTTTTTGTGTTACACATGGTAAGTATTAGTTGTTATCGACCTTGTACATTTTTCTTAAGACAAAGCTACCTGTGATTTGTTGCATATATAGAAATATATATTGACTGAAAAGTTAGTATCAAACTTTAAACATGCGCACTCTTAGTAAAGCCAGAAAGTAAAGCCTACATAGCTCTAACCCAGTGGTCGGTAAACCGCGGCTCGCGGGCCGCATGCGGCTCTTTAGCGACCTGATTGTGGCTCGGCCCGTCGGCCACAAATCGGTTTTGACTCCAAAAAAACATGGTTCTTGACAGGTTCTTGACATGTTCTTGACAGGTTCTTGACAGGTTCTTGAAAAGAAATTTGGCTTTTAAATTATTTTAAAAAAAATCGCCCTGCTGCTGATTTTTGGCTCTTTTGACTTATGAGTTTGCCGCCCACTGGTCTAATCCATTTTAATTTTAACACACATTGTGAAATTGCCTTCTAACTTTAATTTTTATTGCATGGGGTTATTATGTATGGGCGCTATTATTGTAATTGTATAATAAAAAAAAATATCAACTTAAGTCTGTGGTCTGTGTAACAAACAACTTTTTATTCACCATTCTACATTCTTCTTATGCCCCCACATAACATGACCACTCCAAATCTCCAACCGATATTCACACATTCAAGTTTAAACACTGATGAACACAACTCACCACATGCACTCATACACCATGACGACATCAGAGGACAATCCGATCATAAAGTTCAATCAATGCACAGCACAATAATAATCGCCAGTCACTCACACACGTCACTTTTTTTTTTTTTTTTAAGTAAAAAATATATTACACGTTAGGTCTGTGGAGTTGTACAGCAAATACTTTAACACCATTCTCTGGTTTAAAGTCTGGTCTCTTGTCTTCTACATGGCCTTCTGGTCCCGAATATAAAAACCTTTTTATTTATAGCATAGCTTCACTCCTGCAATAAAATCAACTTTAGTTTAATAACACCACTTCACAATGCAGTCTATTTTTGTCTATATGCATGACTGTCACCTCTGTGTTTTTTTTTTAAATCAATACATCTTTGATTCAATGTTAAGTTCGTTTGCAAAGACAATAGCCATATTTAACACAGAGTCCAACCGCAGACCACCTGGAGTGTCTACACAAGATGTTTCTAGGAATAAATAAAAAAAAAAGAAGACTATTGATTTTATTCTATGTTGAGCCGTCGCTAAAAATAACCGCGGATTGTCAGATGTTACGACAAGTTTTTAAGCCATGTTCACAACATGTTGCAAAAGTCGTGCTTAAGTAGTACATCTGATGATGTCAAGACCTGGCACATAATTACAAGTGTAGTTTACAACAACAACACAAAAAAATAAAAAAATGCGACATTTGTTTCACACTGGCGATGGTGTCATACATAAAAACCTGTTGCCCAGGGCCGCCTGTCAACTGTATTCCCATCATTGCAAAGTGTTGTAACAGCACAAGTGACAGTTCATGTGACAGTATAACAAGACCCAACTAATTCACACAAAGAAAAAAAAAATCCCTTTAAGTATTCTGGAGTGAAAACGAAAAATGGAAGCTGGTGGTCAAGTCCAGGAATGAACAGTTTGGGAACTCGCCCAAGATGGAAACCCCCCCCCTCCCCCAACCACAGCGGTATCAATTTATTTCTCAACATTTGGTACATGATCAGAACGTGCAGGAGCACCGCGCTCTCATGTGTGCCTGGACCTGGGTCCTGATCCAAGCATTTTCTCAAGATAAAGTGGGGCACGTTTAACAAAACGAAGTTGGCAGCTTGCTCTTGAGATTATAGGCAACTTCTGGTCATCTTGAGATTATAGGCAACTTCTGGTCATCTTGAGATTATAGGCAACTTCTGGTCATCTTGAGATTATAGGCAACTTCTGGTCATCTTGAGATTATAGGCAACTTCTGGTCATCTTGAGATTATAGGCAACTTCTGGTCATCTTGAGATTATAGGCAACTTCTGGTCATCTTGAGATTATAGGCAACTTCTGGTCATCTTGAGATTATAGGCAACTTCTGGTCATCTTGAGATTATAGGCAACTTCTGGTCATCTTGAGATTATAGGCAACTTCTGGTCATCTTGATATTATAGGAAACTTCTGGTCATCTTGAGATTATAGGCAACTTCTGGTCATCTTGAGATTATAGGAAACTTCTGGTCATCTTGATATTATAGGAAACTTCTGGTCATCTTGATATTATAGGAAACTTCTGGTCATCTTGAGATTATAGGCAACTTCTGGTCATCAGAGACTATAGGCAACTTCGGTTCATTAGAGATTATAGACAATTTCTGGTCATCAGAGATTATAGGCAACGTCAGGTCATCATAGATTATATACATCGTCTTGTCATTAGAGATTATAGACAACTTCTGGTCAATAGAGATTATAGTCAACTTCTGGTCTTTAGAGACTATAGACAACTTCTTGCCTTCAGAGATTATAGACATCTTCTTGTCCTCGGAGATTATAGTCAAGTTTTGGTCATTAGAGATTATAGGCAACTTCTGGCCCTCAGAGATTATAGGCAACTTCTTTTCAAAAGAGATGATAGGAAATTTCTGGCCCTCAGAGATTATAGGCAACTTCCTGCCCTCAGAGATTATAGGCAACTTCTGGTCATCAGAGATTAGAGTTAGCTTCTTTCCCTCAGAGATTATAGGCAACTTCTGGTCGTCAGAAATTATAGACAACTTCTGGTCATCAGAGATTATAGACAACTTCTGGTCATCAGAGATTATAGACAACTTCTGGTCATCAGAGATTATAGACAACTTCTGGTCATCAGAGATTATAGACAACTTCTGGTCATCAGAGATTATCGACGAATTCTGGTCATTAGAGATTATAGAAAACTTCTGGCCCTCAGAGCTTATAGAAAATTTTTAGTCATTAGAGATTATAGTCAAGGTTTGGTCATTAGAGATTATAGTCAAATTCTGGCCCTCAGAGATTATAGGCAACTTCTTTTCAAAAGAGATGATAGGAAATTTCTGGCCCTCAGAGATTATATGCAACTTCCTGCCCTCAGAGATTATAGGAAACTTCTGGTCATCAGAGATTAGAGTTAGCTTCTTTCCCTCAGAGATTATAGGCAACTTCTGGTCGTCAGAAATTATAGACAACTTCTGGTCATCAGAGATTATAGACAACTTCTGGTCATCAGAGATTATAGACAACTTCTGGTCATCAGAGATTATAGACAACTTCTGGTCATCAGAGATTATAGACAACTTCTGGTCATCAGAGATTATCGACGAATTCTGGTAATTGGAGATTATAGAAAACTTCTGGCCCTCAGAGCTTATAGAAAATTTTTAGTCATTAGAGATTATAGACAATTTCTGAACCTCAGAGATGATAGGCAAATTCTGGCCCTAAGAGATTATAGTCAAATTCTGGTCATCAGAGATGATAGACAACTGCTTGCGCTCAGAGATTAATGGCAACTTCTGGTCCTCGGTGATAAGCTGTTTTTATTATTTTATTTTTAACTTATCATTTTTTCGCCAATATGTTCAGTGTGGTTATGTTGTTTGTTTCTAATTTCCTATCCAAAAATAATCAAGGGGAATATTATGGCATTGTTGCATGTAATCATTAAATTTGATCAATATAAGGGGTCATCAAATGTGACCAACATGAGAGGTCATCTAAACTGACCCTCACATGGTCATCATATCTAACGATCACGAAATATACAGTGTAAGGTTTCAGTGTCAAATTCTTGCATTTTTATGTAGTTGAATTTGTTACCATAAGTCGTTATCAACTCCTTTAGCCGAATTCACAGTCGAAATTCACAGCCCCAAGACGTAGTTGAATATGTTGCCCTAAGTCGTAGTTGAATATGTTGCCCTAAGTCGTAGTTGAATATGATGCCCTAAGTTATAGTCGATTATGTTGCCCTAAGTTGTAGTCGAATATGTTGCTCCAAGTCGTAGTCAAATCTGTAGCCCCAAGTCGCAGTCGAATCTTTAGCCCCAAGGCCTTGTCGAATATGTTGCCCAAAGATGTAGCCGAATATGCTCCCCCACGCCGTAGTCGATTCAGTTTGATTACACTGTACATATTTATTGTCAGCCAATTGATGAAAAGTCTGATAAAAAAAACAGAATAAGATGAGACAATTATTCAGTCGGTTTCTCAGACCCAAGAGCTTTACATTTATAGTTATGCTTTTGAGCCGCTTGATTTCTTTTTTTTTTTAAATCCTTTATATTCAATTCGCTTTTGTTCGTGTGTTTCTTCCTCGCTGGGTGGCAAAATCTTCAGACGGTTAATTGACCTACATCCCGTCAACCTATCGAGCTGAAACTTTCGCAAATCGACTCGTTGCCGATGACAACACATTCTTTCAAATTTTCAGCCCCACCCCCATAACACAAGACTCAACAAATCAAGGGAAGATAAAGGAAATATGATGCTGATGATTTCACAAAATGAAATTCTGATAATTGTGCTTAATGAGATTTTTTTTTTTTTTTTTTTTTTTTTTTTTTTATTTTTTAAATCTTTTTTTGTTTTTTTTTTTTTTTTTTTTTTTTTTTTTTTTTTTTTTTTTTTTTAATATCGGAAGACCTTTTAGTGCGTAATATTTTCTTTTGTTTTTCTGAAATAGTTGGTGAAATAACTATGCGGTGTAGTTGTGTTACCATGTGTTGTGTAGTTAGTTATCAGATGTGTTGTGTAGTTAGTTATCAGATGTGTTGTGTAGTTAGCTATCAGATGAGTTGTGTAGTTAGTTATCACATGAGTTGTGTTGTTAGTTATCAGATGTGTTGTGCAGTTAGTTATCAGATGTGTTGTGTAGTTAGTAATCAGATGTGTTGTGTAGTTAGCTATCAGATGAGTTGTGTAGTTAGTTATCACATGAGTTGTGTTGTTAGTTATCAGATGTGTTGTGTAGTTAGTTATCAGATGTGTTGTGTAGTTAGTAATCAGATGTGTTGTGTAGTTATTAATCAGATGTGTTGTGTAGTTAGTTATCAGATGAGTTGTGTAGTTAGTTATCAGATGAGTTGTGTAGGTAGTTATCAGATGTGTTGTCAGTTATCAGATGTATTGTGTGGTTAGTTATCAGATGTTTTGTGTAGTTAGTAATCAGATGTGTTGTGTAGTTAGTTATCAGATGTGTTGTGTAGTTAGTTATCAGATGTGTTGTATAGTTAGTTATCAGATGTGTTGTGTAGTTGGTTATCAGATGTTTTGTGTAGTTAGTTATCAGATGTCTTGTGTAGTTAGCTATCAGATGAGTTGTGTAGTTAGTTATCAGATGAGTTGTGTAGGTAGTTATCAGATGTGTTGTCAGTTATCAGATGTATTGTGTGGTTAGTTATCAGATGTTTTGTGTAGTTAGTAATCAGATGTGTTGTGTAGTTAGTTATCAGATGTGTTGTGTAGTTAGTTATCAGATGTGTTGTATAGTTAGTTATCAGATGTGTTGTGTAGTTGGTTATCAGATGTTTTGTGTAGTTAGTTATCAGATGTCTTGTGTAGTTAGCTATCAGATGAGTTGTGTAGTTAGTTATCAGATGAGTTGTGTAGGTAGTTATCAGATGTGTTGTCAGTTATCAGATGTATTGTGTGGTTAGTTATCAGATGTTTTGTGTAGTTAGTAATCAGATGTGTTGTATAGTTAGTTTTCAGATGTGTTGAATAAGTAGTTATCAGATGTTTTGTGTTGTTAGTTATCAGATGTGTTGTGTAGTTAGTTATCATATGTGTTGTTTAGGTAGTTATCAGATGTGTTGTTTAGGTAGTTATCAGATGTGTTGTTTAGATAGTTATCAGATGTGTTGTTTAGGTAGCTATCAGATATGTTATGTAGGTAGTTATCAGATGTGTTGTGTAGTCAGTTATCAGTTGTGTTGTGTACCAGTCATACGTTTTGTGTAGTTATCAGACTTATGATGTAGTGGTCATATTTTTTATGTAGTGCTCTGTGTATATTTAGTATATTTTATATCCTCATCGTTAGTGTCCCCCAAGTTTACGACTCATATAATTTCAGCCTTTGACAGCGACGCTCGTTGTGACATTTTATGACAGATGTTATGGCTCTGACCTATTTGTTTAAATCCTTGTCTGGCCCAGAGACGATTTTATTTCCAGGCGGATTAATCCATTTCAGTGTCGCTAAATCATTCGTCTTAGCCATGAATGACTCCATTGATTGATTGATTGATTTTGGTGGGTTGGTTTGTTGTTTGTTTGGCGGTTGGGTGGTTGATTGATTGATTGATTGATTGATTGATTGATTGATTGATTGATTGATTGATTGATTGATTGATTGATTGATTTTGGTGGGTTGGTTTGTTGTTTGTTTGGCGGTTGGGTGGTTGATTGATTGATTGATTGATTTGCTTTGTATGCTTGGTAAATTTTAGAGTCACTGACGGTCTTTGGAGATCTTCCTGATGTCTCCCACTAAACGGGAAGCAATTAATTGCTATATGTAGTGGCATATTTTTTTAACAGGCTAGATAATAACAGGGACCCTACCTGCCGGTATTGCAGCCTGGTCCCAGAAACACTTGCGCATCCGTTTGCAGAATGTCCGTCACTAGATGTTTCGGGGGAAGACAGGGCGGCGGGAGAGCCCTACGCGAAGAAAATGTTATGTGGGAGAGCTCAACAGATGGGTCTGGTGCTGGTGGCCAATGTACTAGCCGGGGTCATAAGAGAGTAGCCTCAGACCCTCATTTATGCGTCAGTAGTGCATGTATTTGTAGCAATGTCTTCTTAAGTGCACTCATTTTCAATGGTTATGTGTGGCTCCACGTCATGCGGCTTTCGGACTATAGTATTTCCGGCTCTAAAATCCAATTCATGTGTTTGGACTGCCTCCCTGCCTCCACAACATGGCTTAATTAATCGACTTAAGGGCTATTTCTCGGGACAATACACCCAAATCCCTCGCTAGACGGCCATTATTTTGAGGTTTTGATGGATTTTAAAGTTAGATGGATCCGCAGAGTGGGCACAACTGGGGACATCTAGAGAGACTTGCCCAGAACCGGGATGCCTGGAAAGCCTTTGTTTGTGGTCTATGCCCCAGACGGGATGAGAGGCGATGATGATGATTGATCTGCAGTTTGTCTTCATTTGTTATCCAGTTGGTCCAAGATCGCTATTGCTCATAGACAGCTATCGTTATCCATACGAAGTTACCATGGTTACTAATCAGAAAAAAATATATTTACAAAGCTTGATCTAAAAATAATATTATTAACAATTAATACTAAAGTCTTGTCATGTTATGCACCCTTGACATGAATGCCATGATCTCATTCACGTGTTAGACACTTTCTCCGCCCCTTTTATTTAAGACCCCACCGCAGTGGACTTACTTTTCCTCTCTTCCGTCCCATTTTGCCTGCATTAACTCCTTCACCAACGTATGATCCATCGCATTTCAATTGCTGTCCTCTCTGATGCTAATCATTATTTTATATCGTTTTTACTGTTGTTTATTCACTGAAGGAATCTTCTTGCCGACACTTTCGTTGTCTTGTTGCGTTCTTTTTTCGGGTTTCACCTACTTTGTATCGCTCACTTCCTTCTGTCTAACCCGTGTGTGGCGTCGCCCGTCCTATTATCATGTTCCTCACTAAGACACACCCCAGCGCTTCATATTTTGCAGCTATCTGAAACTGATTTTTAATGGATCTTTAAATAAAAGTTTCGAAACTTTCTCTTGTGTTAAACTAAATTATCAAAATACGCATTTTAAAAACTTCAGTTCTTTTTAAACAATCAAGTGTTCTTTAAATCGATTTTCCCATCTTCATTATTTACTTTAATATTTTGTACAACGTATCATGGTCTACTGTAGATTTGTCTTCAAAACGACCGAAAGATCAAACGTATCGGTTTTAACCGGTTTGAAGGTATTAAAGGTTTACAAGCTTGTGATATAGAGACTACTTTTCTCGGCGTTAAATCAAATGTAATTCTGTTTCATTTACAACGGTTCCATTGATATCTTTTACGTAATAATAATAACATCTCAAAGGATCTAAGAGCCAGTCGCGATACAAACGGATTCAAGAAAAACAATCTCATTACAAAGTTATTTTAAAATCATATGCCTTGGTCCCCTGCACCGTCGTGCCACTGATAACATCACACGCCTTGGTCCCCTGCACCGTCGTGCCACTGATGATATCACACGCCTTGGTCCCCTGCACCGTCGTGCCACTGATAACATCACACGCCTTGGTCCCCTGCACCCTCCGCCACTGATAACATTACGTATACCCATTTGAGGAACATTCTTCGCGTGACTGTCATTATTGGACTATCGTTTACTTCTGATGGAGTTCTACCGATCCCTAAAGTGGGCATAAAACACTGTATCAACAGTGGGACATTGTCACAACAATGCAACACTGTCACAGCAGTGGGACACTGTCACAAAAGTGGGACATTGTAACAATAGTGCAACACTGTCACAACAGTGGGACACTGTCACAACAGTGGGGAATTGTCACAACAGTGGATACTGTCACAATATGGGGACATTGTCACAACAGTGAGGCCCTTTCTCAAAATTTTGGGCACCGTCACAAAATCTTGGACACTGTCACAACAGTGTGGCACTGTTACCGTCTAAAATACACGCTTGGTTTGTTTTTACTCTATTTAGTTGCTTTTGTTTTGTTCAGCTACGGGGCCATTGTTGTTTTAGGCTCAGAGATCTGCACACCCCATTCTGATCTCAATCGATACATAGCACACACACACACACACACACACACACACACACACACACACACACACACACACACACACACACACGTACACACTCTGCTTTTCACACACAAAATCTCAGAGATCTGCACACCCCATTCTGATCTCAAACGATACATAGCACACACACACACACACACACACACACACACACACACACACACACACACACACACACACACACGTGTACACGCTTTGCTTTTCACACCCAAAACAACCCACCCAAACATAACACCCTCGCCCACACTGTTACGTACCGTTGTAAGAATAGAGAATTTAATCTCTTATTTGACAATATCGCTCGTTGAAAAAAAAGAGTACACAACAAAAGACGAAGTCATAAGTTAAATACAACAATAAAAAAAAACGATACCCAAACTAGGGCTAATTACATTTAATACGTTTATTAGGGTAATTATAAATTACAAAATCAAAAATAAATAAATAACTAAAGCTATTGAATTGCGGTACAGTGATGACTTGTATCGGTAAAATGTTGAAGATGATACAATGTTGTTAAAGGATCAAACACACTGCTAGCACTGCCTTCTATTGTGAGAAATTAATCTCTTAGCGTAAGTTATTGGCTCGTTCTAAACAGTGCCTAACACAGGACGATACCATAGAGAAATACAATAGCAAAAATACGACACTCAAAACAGTACTAATTACAATTAATAAGATTTGTTTAAGTATTAATATAAATACAAAACAAAAGAAATATAGATACAATCATCACAGTTACAGAGTATGTCTTGTACCAGTACACAGTTAGTACAATGTGCCACAGAAATAAGGTACACTGATGAATGCGAATAAACACATATGAGTACACAAAGAATAGTACAATTGTCTCGTGAAGTGAAAAAATATCAATCAATCAATCAATCCCTCTCGATGAATCTATGAATCCCCTTTTATATCTATACGTCGGTAGAGCCACCACCTCTAGAAACGTACTCTACATTGTTTATCTTCCTAGTCAATTATCGAAGTTTCCCCAAAATTCTATTATAATATATGAGCTATTTTAGTTGATAGTTGTGGAAAACAACGGCTAAGATGAAAGGAAATAGGTCACGCCCAACACGAACGCCGACTAATGTGGGGTCAACCAGAGTTCACGGCACGGGGAAAGTGTGACGTAAACACGTCCTACATAACAACATACACACGGCAAATATTAGTAAACAAATCTCTGTCTCCTATGGCAAATCTCTCTCGTCATCCCCCAATCACTCTATAGAGGCGTATCTATAGTCTGTTTCAGAGACATTTCTAAAATGGACTTACACCTTGTATTCCTTTCTCCATTAGTCTCGATATTTCTACATAATTCTAATTATGCAGACCATAGACTTTATTTTTTTTTAAAAGAAGGTCAAGGGAGACTATTTTTAATTAGTCACACCCAAAACGTGGTTCAGAACTTGGGGTCAGCTAAAGTTCAGTCATCAGACTAGATGAATGAAAGTGAACAAGACGCCTAAAACAATCATCCACACATACCTACCTACACATCAACACAGCCACCCACACAGAGCCCTGGTACCCTAACCCGGAAACGTCCACACACGCCCTCCCACACTCAGAAAACACTTACTCGCACCTACACACCCACACCCACCCACAAACACACGCACACAACCTACTCACACATACACACATGCACTGTTTACCCCCATGCGACGTTGGTTTTTTTTGGACTTGGATATTTCTGATATTTCATTGGAGAATGCATAACCGTAGCTCAACTCCAACTTCCCTCTCCAAATAAACTTCGTTTTCTTCTATCCGCTTCTACCGGAAGACGTTGCGGGGATTTTCCACAAGCTGTGAGGCTTGCTGAAGATTCATGACGAGGATTTTGATGGTCTTCTTCTAACAATATAACCGGATTGCCTTTTGTTGTAGTCCGGTAACGCCGGTTGGTGGCCAAACCAAATTAATTTCCTTGCTGGTCACATACTGGCTGATTGGTACGGCACCAACAATTGTTCTTTTTTTTCCCCTTGTTCTAAATGTGTTCTCTTCTCACTTTGCAAGCTGCTCGCCTTAAAAAATCTCATCTCTCAGGTAAACAAATTTTTTTCGCAAGAATTTCTATTCAGAGCCAAGGGCTGTGTTGATTCACCTGGCCTTGGTCACCATCTTCTGGGCGCCTCAGTCCAAACGAAATCACATTGAGGAAAGTTGCTTGAACTAAGGGTGTCACCTTGGACACGTTTCAAGCTTTCCTCAAATTATGACAACGATTTCAAAACCCGTTGGCATGATGGCGCAGTGGTAGTATTGTCTGTCTTTCAACCAAGAGATAGTCGGTTGGACGTTGTCCGGCGGTCGTCCCCAGGCAATATGTTTGTGTATCTGGTTAGAGTCGTCAAACGAGTGGGGCAGCTCTTCTTGCAAGCCAGCAGCCAATCCGGCGTGGGGTAGATCAAAATGGATGTGCGCAACTTGCTGTGGTCTTATCGATAAGATTGCAGCAGCTTTGCGTTGAGATCACATTGCTATGTTGCCCCCTGATTTATGAGTCAATTTGTATTATCTTTATTTGTGAGCATTGCACCACATTTTTTGTGAGTAATATACCACATTTATTTGTGAACAGTGTACCACATTTATTTGCGAGCAGTATACCACATTTATTTATGAACAATGTACCACATTAATTTGTGAGCAATTTAACCACATTTATTTTCGAGCAATATTCCACTTTTATTTGTGAGCAATGCACCACATTAGTTTGTAAGCATTGCACCACATTTATTTTTTAGCAGTGTATCAACTTTTTCGTGAACATTGTGAACAGAACAGACCGTGTTAGTCGCGCACTGTCAAGTTATGACGTCAGTGCCTATGAATAAACCATTAAACTCTACCGAATGCTGTGGTGATATTTAGGTTTTAGATGGTATTAGTTTAAACGAGTCAGATTTTCTATACAGATAGGTACAAATAAACGCATGAAATGGTTGCATACGATCTAAATAATACTTTTTTTTGTTTGGACATTGATATCAATGTCGACGTCATTTCCTTCACTCACTTTGTCGCGTGTCATCAGAAATGTCCACTCATGCGGCCTTGGTAGGTCACTATCGCTGTCTTGGAGAAACGTTTCTATACATTCCAATTGTTGTGCCACCACAACCCCACCCCCCTCTTCTATTATTTGTGAACAAAACTGACTGACGCACGAAGATAAAGGGGAGCAAATCGACAAGTGACGAATGCTTTTATAGCACACGTTCGTCAGCCTTCTCTTACCACACTGTGGTCTGGTCAGTACGTAGATTGCTTACAACTTAAACAAAATCCTGTGATACAACTTAAAACGTAGGGTAAAAAGGTCCTGGTATACAATTCAAACGTAGGGTCTAAATGTCCTGTTATACAACTTAAAACTTAGGGTACACACCTGGTATACAATTCAGACGTAGGGTCTAAATGTCCTGTTATACAACTTAAAACTTAGGGTACACACCTGGTATACAATTCAGACCCGCAATTGCCAATGTTAAGGACGCCTGTTGATTGTTTCCTTGGCAAAAACATGAAGCAATATTTACGATCTGTTGTGAAATGGCATTGGTGGTTGTCTTATCTCAAGTGTTAGTTTGAAGTGACCGTAAACAAATGCTTGAATAGAACGGTGGATGGCAACCAATAGAAATAACTTCATATTTAATCCTGTGTGAAATAACTTTATCTTTAATCCTGTGTGAAATAACTTTATCTTTAATCCTGTGTGAAATAACTTCATATTTAATCCTGTGTGAAATAACTTTATCTTTAATCGTGTGTGAAATAACTTCAACTTTAATCCCCTGTGAAATAACTTCATCTTTAATCCTGTGTGAAATAACTTCATCTTTAATCCTGTGTGAAATAACTTCATATTTAACCCTGTGTGAAATAACTTCATATATAATCCTGCGTAAATAACATCATCTTTAATCATGTGTGATATAACTTTATGTTTAATCCTGTGTGAAATAACTTCATCTTTAATCCTGTTTGAAATAACTTCATTTTAATCCTGTGTGAAATAACTTTATTTTTAATTCTGTGTGAAATAACTTCATATTTAATCCTGTGTGAAATAAATTCATCTTTAATCCTGTGTGAAATAACTTCATCTTTTAATCCTGTGTGAAATAACTTCATCTCTAATCCTTTTTGAAATAACTTCATCTTTAATCATGGTTGATATAACTTTATGTTTAACCCTGTGTGAAATAGCTTCATCTTTAATCTTGTGTGAAATAACTTATTCGATTTTTTGTTTTGTTTTTTTTGGTTTCAAGAACTCAGTTTCACAGAATTACAATGAGAACTTAAAACTACAGTTGTGACTTATTAAATAAAGCAAATTGTTAATGAGACATAAAAAATGTATAGAAATATTTAACTCACAAAATGGTATGTCAATGGCTCCCTTAGCCTCATAACCCCTTCCAGTGAGTCCTTTTAATTACCACCTCGCTTCCCTTGGGGGTGCAAGCACCTCAATTTGAGAAACACTTCTTTATAATAATTTTGATAGGGGTCTGTATGCGCTATGGTGTACAATGGTATGTTTGATTTATGTCTAAAAACTCAAGATATGAACCTTGTCCCATATATTGTTTATATTTTATGTAAGATTAAATGCTCTGTTATTTTAATTTTTGTTGTAAAAAAAAACGCCTTACATTTGAGAACCAGCAGCTAAAACTATTCTTTGGCTGAGCACCCATTTCCCTTCTGATTTAAAGTGGTGAAATTCTTTCCTATTCACAAAACGTTTCGGGCGGTACGCCACTCTAAACACATCTTCATTAGATCTCATTTAAGAAGTGTGGTATTCATTACTGAGCCTAGGTCTAAACATAACGCAACTTGGAACCATTTCGAAACACCACCGCTCAGCGGCGTAGCTAGAGTGTTTGGCGCCCCGGCGGGACAAGGTTCATTTTAAAGAGCCTCCCTTACTTTGTTCAACTCTCTAACCGATTATTTTCATCAATAAAATAATATCTACGTATAATTTGGCGCCTCTAACTAGTCTGGCATCCAGGGAGTACCCACTGCCCCCCCTCCAGCCCCACCCCCCCAGCTAGGCCGCTGGCACCTTTACACAGATCGCGAGCGTGAGCCAAACTATAACGCATGTTTAAAGTGATCATAACAGGATTTTTTTTTTTTTTAAACCGGTCTGGATTGCTTCTTTAGGTTCTCTGCTAGCAACAGCCCGCTGTACCCATGTGACGCCTGCTCATGGCCTGCATGGGTGGGTGTGTCCCTGAACGAGACGGGAATGGCGCCTACGACTACCCGGAGGACGCCAAAACGGCCAAGCAGAGAGACAGGGAGATCACCAAGCTGCTCCACAAACAGCACAAAGAGGACCAGAGGAGACTCAAGCTGCTTCTTTTGGGTAACGTTCAAACGTTCTGGTCTTTAGGCGTAGCTTGGTGTCTTAATATGTCACAGGCAAAGTCGGAAATCCGTCAGACATTATATACGTGTTACGTGAAAAGTGTGAAGTATATTCAACGTTGTATGTGTTAAAAAGTGGAAAATGCATGAAACATTATATATGGTGCAAGCGAATTAGGAAATCATTGCATTCTATAGAGGACCTGGTTGGACATAGGCAAATTATACTGTCAAGAAAAGGACGGGATATTTTTTTATTAACAAGTAAAGCGCAGCAGTAAAAAAAAAAAAAATAAAAAAAAAAAAAATGCAATACAACTGTCAGAAGATTTATCATTTATATATATTTTATCCCAACAGTCTGAACTTGACCTTCATTATGCAAGGACAATAAAAGGATTCTTTAACCGATCCGTTCCTTTCATTATAATTCTTTTTTTTTTTTTTTGGTCAAGTTTAATTTATTTGATTTTAAAAGTTAAAAAGTTTATATATATATATATATATATATATATACGTTTTTGTACCATGTGGCCAATTTACGAAATGTCTAGTTAAAGCAATTACAAATAAATAGTTTCAAGATGTAGACTACCAACTGACTGATATTTTTACAATTTTCGGTGCAACATCTGATGGCAAGCAGACGAGAGAAAATTTTTACAATCAATTTTTTTTTTCCATCCGGAATGAATACTATCCTCAGCTTTAAGATAAGAGTACTGGCCACAGCCTTAAGTCAGCATATTGCTAAGAGCAGTCTTTGGAGTGTCAGTCTACTGTCACGGCATGGATGGATTTTGCTAGGAGCAGTCTTTGGAGTGTCAGTCTACTGTCACGGCATGGATGGATTTTGCTAGGAGCAGTCTTTGGAGTGTCAGTCTACTGTCACGGCATGGATGGATTTTGCTAGGAGCAGTCCTTGGAAAGTCGGTCTAGTATCACGGGGACTATGGCGATTGATCGATATGATCCTTTTGGTTGGGTGCACAGTAAAGATTGGATTAGATTTACCTCAAGGAGTTTCCAGCATGTTAAAAACAGTTGAAGGTTTGAATGGCGCTATAATTAACTTTTTTTTGTTTTTTTTTACAAGAAGCCTATATTTGAGTTAGAAGACATTATACTGGGTTTTAAAAAAAAAAAAAATAGGAGTTTCCAGCATTTTAAAAGAAGTTGAAGGTTTTAATGGGGGTATAATTAACTTTTTTTTGTTTTTTTTTACAAGAAGCCTATATTTGAGTTAGAAGACATTATACTGGGTTTTAAAAAAAAAAAAACTTCTGGCAAGCTGAAACCCAACAGTCTATCGGAACTCGTCCAGGATATGCTAAGAACATGTGTAGTAACAGAGTCAAGGGTAACTGAGAACATTTGTAGTTACAGAGTCAAGGGTAACCGAGAACGTGTGTAGTTACAGAGTCAAGGGTAACTGAGAACGTGGGTAGTAACAGAGTCAAGGGTAACTGAGAACATGTGTAGTAACAGAGTCAAGGGTAACTAAGAACATGTGTAGTTACAGAGTCAAGGGTAACTGAGAACGTGTGTAGTAACAGAGTCAAGGGTAACTGAAAACGTGTGTAGTAACAGAGTCAAGGGTAACTGAGAACATGTGTAGTAGCAGAGTCAAGGGTAACTAAGAACATGTGTAGTTACAGAGTCAAGGGTAACTGAGAACGTGTGTAGTAACAGAGTCAAGGGTAACTGAGAACGTGTGTAGTAACAGAGTCAAGGGTAACTGAGAACATGTGTAGTAACAGAGTCAAGGGTAACTGAGAACGTGTGTAGTAACAGAGTCAAGGATAACTGAGAACATGTGTAGTAACAGAGTCAAGGGTAACTGAGAACGTGTGTAGTAACAGAGTCAAGGGTAACTGAGAACATATTTTAAACAAGAGAGTCGACATTTAACATGGTTTGTGTACATACAAAATACTATGTAACTAAAAATGACATTAAAGTTCAGACTGTAGCAATACATTAAAAAAAAAAACTTTCAGGAAACTTCTTATGGCCATGTTGTATTTTAAACCTCCGTTTGTCCCCGCTGTTCATTATTCGTTGGTAACACGTCAAATCCATCGTCTGCTCTATGATAAAATTTGCCCGTATTCCAGACAGGCATTATACATGATGCTTTAGCCTTTGTACGGAAGGTCTGGTCAATGTCTAATGTATTTCGTACTTAGACTACAATCTGCAGGCATTCTATAATGCCTAGGCAATCTACAAAATGGCTGGATTATAAACTTGACTGTGCTTTTAGCTGAAAAAAAAAGTGTTTGCAATATGGCGGCAAATATGACAGGATAGTGGAGGTTGTTGAGAAAGAGGGAGAGTGAGAGAATGAGAGAGAGAGGGGGGGAGAGAGAGATAGCGGGGAGAGGGAGAGGGAGAGTGAGAGAGAGAGCAGCGTAGGAGGGTTCAGTAGGGGTAGAAAAATAGACCAGGTTAGGATAGTGCTTTGATGGGGAACGGGAAAGGAGTTGAAGAGGAGGCGGTTAGGGGTGGTTAAGGGATAACTGTGTATGTTCTTTTGTTGTAAGTTGGTACAAACATATGATTTGTATGTTATTTTGTTGTAAGTTGGTACAAATAGATGACTATGTATGTTCTTTTGTTGTAAGTTGGTACAATAGATGACTATGTATGTTCTTTTGTTGTAAGTTGGTACAAATAGATGACTAAGTATGTTCTTTTGTTGTAAGTTGGTACAAATAGATGACTAAGTATGTTCTTTTGTTGTAAGTTGGTACAAATAGATGACTATGTATGTTCTTTTGTTGTAAGTTGGTACAAATAGATGACTATGTATGTTCTTTTGTTGTAAGTTGGTACAATAGATGACTATGTATGTTCTTTTGTTGTAAGTTGGTACAAATAGATGACTAAGTATGTTCTTTTGTTGTAAGTTGGTACAAATAGATGACTATGTATGTTCTTTTGTTGTAAGTTGGTACAAATAGATGACTATTTATGTACTTTGGTTGTAAGTTGGTACAAATAGATGACTATGTATGTTCTTTTGTTGTAAGTTGGTACAATAGATGACTATGTATGTTCTTTTGTTGTAAGTTGGTACAAATAGATGACTAAGTATGTTCTTTTGTTGTAAGTTGGTACAAATAGATGACTAAGTATGTTCTTTTGTTGTAAGTTGGTACAAATAGATGACTAAGTATGTTCTTTTGTTGTAAGTTGGTACAAATAGATGACTATGTATGTTCTTTTGTTGTAAGTTGGTACAAATAGATGACTATTTATGTACTTTGGTTGTAAGTTGGTACAAATAGATGACTATGTATGTTCTTTTGTTGTAAGTTGGTACAAATAGATGAATATGTATGTACTTTTATGTGATCTTAATGCTCGTCTTGAGGTGTACTAAAATGGTTGACGGAAGTCAAGTTTGTTGAGTTGGACTTGTGATACTCGTGTTGTACTCTATCCTCCCCCCACACCCCCACCCTCTTCTCGGTGATCATATGTGTACGTGTCTTGCATGCAGGTACCGGTGAGTCAGGCAAGAGCACGGTGACCAAACAGATGAAGATCATCCACATTAACGGCTACACCTTTCTGTAAGTATGCCATTGACTGGTGATATAGTCAACTACACCTTTATGTAATTCTGCCATTGACTGATGACATTATGAACTACACCTTTTCTTTAAGTCTGCCATTGACTGATGACATAGTAAACTAAAACTTTCTTTAAGTCTGCCATTGATTGATGACATAGTAAACTACACATTTTCTTTAAGTCTGCCATTGACTGATGACATTGTGAACTACACCTTTTCTTTAAGCCTGCCATTGACTGATGACATAGTGAACTACACCTTACTTTAAGTCTGCCATTGACTGATGACATAGTGAACTACACCTTTCTTTAAGTCTGCCATTGACTGGTGACATAGTGAACTACACCTTTCTTTAAGTCTGCCATTGACTGATGACATTGTGAACTACACCTTTTCTTTAAGTCTGCCATTGATTGATGACATAGTAAACTACACTTTCTTTAAGTCTGCCATTGACTGATGACATAGTGAACTACACATTTTCTTTAAGTCTGCCATTGACTGATGACATAGTAAACTACAACTTTCTTTAAGTCTGCCATTGACTGATGACATAGTAAACTACACCTTTTCTTTAAGTCTGCCATTGACTGATGACATAGTAAACTACAACTTTCTTTAAGTATGCCATTGATTGATGACATAGTAAACTACAACTTTCTTTAAGTATGCCATTGACTGATGACATAGTAAACTACAACTTTCTTTAAGTATGCCATTGATTGATGACATAGTAAACTACACCTTTTCTTTAAGTCTGCCATTGACTGATGACATAGTAAACTACAACTTTCTTTAAGTATGCCATTGATTGATGACATAGTAAACTACACATTTTCTTTAAGTCTGCCATTGACTGATGACATAGTAAACTACAACTTTCTTTAAGTATGCCATTGTTTGATGACATAGTGAACTACAGCTTTTTTGTAAGTCTGCCATTGACTGGTGACATAGTGAACTACAGCTTTTTGTAAGTCTGCCATTGACTGGTGACATACGGAACTACACCTTTCTGTAAGTCTGCCATGACTGATGACATAGTGAACTACACATTTCTGTAAGTCTGCCATTGACTGGTGACATAGTGAACTACACCTTTTTGTTGGTATGCCACTGACTGGTGACACTAACCTAGCTACCTATACAATAACATGGTTACCTACAGAGAGACAAGTTTCCCTACACAGTAACATAGTCACCTACATAGTGACATAGTTACCTAAACAGTGACATAGTTACCTAAACAGTGACATAGTTACCTAAACAGTAACATAGTCACCTACACAGTGACATAGTGAACTACACAGTGGCATAGTTACCTAAACAGTAACATAGTCACCTAAACAGTGACATAGTTACCTAAACAGTAACATAGTTACCTAAACAGTGACATAGTTACCTAAACAGTAACATAGTCACCTAAACAGTGACATAGTGAACTACACCTCTTTATAGGTCTGCCACTGACTGGTGACACTAACCTAGCTACCTATACAATAACATAGTTACCTATAGAGAGACAAGTTTCCCTACACAGTAACATAGTCACCTAGACAGTGACATAGTTACCTACACAGTGACATAGTTACCTAAACAGTGACATAGTTACCTAAACAGCGACATAGTTACCTACACGGTAACACAGTTACCTGTACAATGACATAGCTACTTTCACGGTAACACAGTTACCTGTACAATGACATAGCTACTTTCACGGTAACACAGTTACCTGTACAATGACATAGCTACTTACACGGTAACACAGTTACCTGTACAATGACATAGCTACTTACACGGTAACACAGTTACCTGTACAATGACATAGCTACTTAAACGGTAACACAGTTACCTGTGCAATGACATAGTTACCAACACGGTGACATAATTACCTACACGGTGACATTAAGTTCAGCTAGATCATTGCTTTACAAATAATTAGGTCAGGTCCTAGGAAAAAAGTTTGTGGGAACTAACACCCCCCCCCCACCGAATAAAATATGTGTTTATTTCTTAGCATAAACAGTGCAACGTTTATTATATGACAGAGTACATCAATAGACGTACTTGCCATACGTTCCTGCAGGACCCGAGTCTTGGTCATAATGCAGTGGAGCAATTTGCGTATTGCGTCAAATGAATCTGAAGTTTAGCTACGTCGAAACCGTGAACAAACGTAACAGCCTTGAGAAAGGTGTCGGCCTAATACCGAGTGCTGAGTGTTTCAAGCCATCACCCAAATGGTTTATTTGTAGATATACTTACTTTAGATTAAGGTTTATAAAAGGGATCAGAAAAAAAAAGATTGGCTGCTAAAGTTTGGATGCAATTAACTTTAATAAATCGTTTAACTGTTGTTCCACACTTTTGTGCTTGCAGAGAACGGATTGAGAAAAGGAAAGACATCATACGAAATGTAAGAGAGTCCATGCTGGTGAGTTATTCCCCTTGCCACACTTGAATGGCATCGGACGATTTTTGCTTCTTTTGATGGGTAACAGTTAATGAATAGATATTTATGTGCTACTAGCGAGTACCCGGCATGCGTTGCAATGCCACTCAAAGAAAGAAAGTGTTTGCATTTTAATTATGTTTCTTCAAGAGCTTTTAAATACACAAAGTTTTTCTTGTTTTTTCCGTCTGGTACATACATGAATAAATCAGAAGGTTTTCTGACGCGAGAGCAGGCACCATACATCTGTCCATGGGAGAAGCATGGATTTTCCAAATTTAGTCCGCAAACTTGTAGCGATTGTCCCTGTGCTTTGTAGATAGTCATTGCAGACGCGTGTCGCACAGGAAACTGGAGGCGTTTGAATTCAAATGATATATATGTTGGAATCATCAGGATGCGTGGCAACAGTATATCACCTCCTTTAAATTTTCAATTTAAAATAGTAGCTTCAATGGAACCAATTTCGGAAGATTCCTTTGAACAAATGTACCTAATTCTTCGATATTAAAGTGCGTTTTTCGTTGCAAATTACGATGGAAAAGTTTGTTTGCAGATCGATTCGGAGAAGACATTCCCAACTCTACCAGTGATTTTTAGAGATTGCCAAACATATGTCCTCAATCGAAACCCATGGCTTATTATACACGTTTGGTGTACATTTAATGTCCGGATTTTGATTCGTTGCACGCAAACAATGTAGGATGTCTTCACTCATGTCGTCTTTGTATTTTTCCCAAAGATCTTTTGGATTGGATGGAAAGCACGTTGTCAATATGATTGCAAACAAAGTGGGTATTTGCTGTGGTTGAGCAATATACGATGCATCAGAGAGCGAAGTATCCCAATGAGCATCGTTTACCAAAAGTTTTAATTCTTGGCAAGCTTCACGATAAGTGGCACATACTTGACCGTTTACGGTTCTCAGTTTTTGAAAAGAAGTTGTTCCACATACGTTGATTAACAGTAATAGCAAATAAAAGCTTTGTGCATTGTTTGGGTGAACAGTGTACAAACGGCCTAATGCGTGGGCCGAATATAAATTGGGGTGTTCTTCAAATGCTTTACCCTGTTTGCGACGTTGAAAACTTTTCGCTGATGCATTCCATGTGTAATATGTTCGAAGTTCAGATTAAAGTAGCGTCTTTGCAAAAATATCATTCCCGCACAATGAGGAAAATGCAGTTAACGTTGTTCACGGAGGTGACACTGCTCTTACACGTGCATTTTCTGTTGTTAAGTACAAGCGCTGTCCGTTTTCAAGGTGCACTGCCAAATGAACGAATGTTGGATGGCGTTCATGGATTGGAATTGATAAAATGCGCCAAACTGCTTCGTTGCTATTAATGTAGCGTCCAAGTTGATATCGGTAGATTTCATCGATTGATCCAGTTATTTTTCCACTCCAAAAACTGCCATATCGCTTCTTTGTTAACATATTTGCCAAAGTATTTGATCGATTTCACCGAATTGCAATACTCTACATTGATGTGTGCTTTGAACTTTTTCGAGAGTAACGGTGAATATGATACAACCCAACGATTATTGACTTCAACATCATTGTTTCTTACTTTTAAAATGATTGATTTGCCACCCTCTTCAGTTGATCAGTGGATAGCCACCATTGCCAGTGATAGTCTACTCAATAGTCTACTCAATTAAGTCTCTTGGGTATCGTTTTAAGAATTTCCCATCAGACATGCATGGTACATTTTTGTTGAGTAAGCCACATGGAACGTGAATCATGTTTTGGTGACGATTTCTAATAAAATATTGATCAATGTTGGCATTTGGTATTTCTGCAGAAATGACCTTATCAATTTGATCTGGTTTGATTTTTTCGATCAACCAAATTAAAATGTGTGCATGTGGCAATGTTATTTTTTGCCATTCAACAGCCCTCCAAAAAACATGATACTTGACAATAAAATCTATTAAAGATTTCAATTTTTTTTTAACACACGCGCAGTAATATCGTGACGATCTGATGCTGATTGTCCAGTTAACAAAAGTTCTTTTATTTTTTTGCCCCCAGGTAGGGTTGCTTGTAAATATAATAACAAAATCTGGGCGGCCATATGCTCGAACATATGTCATTGCCTCTTGTGCATATTCATAGATGTGACGTGGACTTCCAGTAAATGTCTCAGATAGTATAACCATTTTCCCCAATTCATTTGGATTCACATTGCCGTCATTCACAATTGCATCATGTAAATGACTGTACTCTTTGGAACGAAACTTGCTTTGATTTAATGGAATGCAGAGGAGTCGTTCGGTTTTGATTTTGGCATTCATATCAACAATGTATTAATGGAACAATTGTCGAAATTTCAAGATATGATTTTCGGCACTCTCACGGATCATCAATCGATATAAATAATATTTCATGGCACTGACTTTCTTATTCGATTCCTCATCTGTCTGTGGATTTCTCAATTTCATGTTAAAATGATATCCATCTTCTCCTTGCCAAAATAAAATAGGATATTGCAATCCATCGTATGAGCGATGAGTTTCTGAGACTCGCTGAACATCGCTACTTCTGCGACGAAGAATTATATCACGTGAGTTAAATTCTTCCCCAACTATAACGATCGCCACTTCATCGATTGTTGGTGTATTGTATTGTCTTTCGTGTTGGCCTACAGGTTTTTTGTCTGCTCTAACTATGATTTTGTAGACATCAGTCGGCATCTTATCAAGTGCATTTCTGAACATTTGAATTTATTCGTTGTGTTGCAAAAATAGCGATTGCAATGTAACGACAATTTCTAATTTAGTACCCGTATTGATATGACAACGTTGATCAATTTGTTCATCAGTATTCCCCATGAAATAAATTTGAACAAATTTGTGATCTGTGTTTGGCAGTGGCAGCAGAGATCCTGTACGATCATAAATTTGTCCTTGAACTTTAAATGTTGGCATGTAATTCTCGCGCACGATATTTGTTGCACCGAACGATGTCATTTGGAAACATGAATTGTACTTGCGTATGTTTGCCAAGAAATGGTTCGATTGGCTTGTTTCACCTGATACCAACGTTGATAATGGTTCGGGCGGTGAATTTAATTCTGGCAATTTCACTTTCCCACCCGCGCAGCAAATTTCCGGTGTTTTATTCTTAAATTGAGGGCACTGCAATACATGCATAATTGATCCATTTTCCCAATAACCACACTTGGATGAAGACTGTAATCATAATTAGCATCGTAATGGAATGCACTAAGATTTGATTCAGCGTGCAGTGTTCGTCTGGATCGAGCAGTGCGTATTCTATTGTTGTTCGACTGTATGAACGGATTTGAGCATTGCGTATTCGAGCAGTTTTCAGTCTTTCTTCTCGTTGCTCGAATGTTTCCGAAGCTCGTGATGACTTTTTCTTTCGTGCTTGAGGTGTAGAAAAACAAATAGCTTTTTGTTTGGGTGGCATACTTGATTTGACAGCGAAAGTATTGCTTTGTGACGAATATTACAAATGAATGTGATATCTGTTATTAGCAATGGTATTTCACAGTGAACACAACTTGTTAGGTCACACACAAAATGAAATATCAATGTTTGTATTTGATTCAATTAATTTACGATATTCCTAACGTTAATAATTTTCACACGTTAGGATCTCCCATCTTTTTACATAAAAACCTCGCCCAAAAGGTTCGTTCATTGTTGGCAGTAGAGTTCCAGTTGTATAGCTTCACATTAATTTATAAATCATAAATTCCAGCGTTAAAATCTCGATATTACCATAGTTCAATACCTACGTTGTCTAGTGTGTTAATTAATTACTTAAGAAACCATCGATTCATGTAAAATATCTTTACATAACACAAAACAACTCCGAAATTAAAAAACTCCATTAAAGAAATACTTTTAATAAAATAAAAACACGTTTTCAACGTCATATCCGATTCTAAAATACGTCACACAATTCAAGCTTATTTATAAAAATAACAAAAATACTCTATACACAAAAAATGCAAAAAAAACTTGTTTTCTCTGCTTTACTACAAATTTGTTGCCTGTTAGAAAAAAGAATGTTAAAAAATTGCCGGCCGATTAAGTTCCATACAATAGCTATATTTGAAATTATTGTTATAAAGCTCATGAATATAGGGCCCCCGTCCAGAAACGGACTATTGCAGAATTGTTGTATTACTTCAGAAACCTACTTAATATGTCACACACAAAATTTAATGTCACTATTTGTATTTGATTAAAAAGCTATCTATCCATGCGTTAGCTCTGTTTGAAATTAAAGTTGTATAGCTTATATAGAAAGAAAAAAAACTAACATAGGGCCCTTGGCTAAAAACGGAATATTTTAAAATGGTTGTAATAATTTTAAAAAATCTTTGCGGGCGTGCCATCTCTTTAAAGTTTTATCGCATTCTAATGAATGGTAGAGGAACGTATACGGAAATTATTTCTTACAAAGCTCGTATAAGGAAAAAAAGGGATTTGGGACCAACTGCCCAAAACGGAATATTTTAGAAGAGTTATAATCGGATAAATGGCGTACGAGCGCATACGGAAATTATTTTTTTACAAAGCTCATATAAGAAGAAAAACGAATTAAGGGCCAACGGCCGAAAACGAAGCATTTTATAAGGGTTGTAATGAATCGGTTCAATGCCTGGTTATGCGGACAACTCACCAACGTTTTGTCGCAGTCGCATATATATATATAAGCTATTATATACTGCTTGCATAGAACAAAATACAGTGTAATCCAAAATTTTCATTTAAATTCAAGTTACTATGACTTCAAAGTCTTATGTTCAAAGTCTTCCTGGTAATTTTTTTTTTTTTTTTTTTTTTTTCTTCATTTTTTTTTTTTTTTTTTTTTTTTACATCAATTTTTACTTTTAACGGGCTCTGAATTTTTGGTTCAAATCTTAACGTCCGATTTTCTATTTTGTTTCTGTAAAAATTTGGACGTAACGTCATGGAGACTCGTCATAATTCTCAGAGTTAATTTATATATTTAAAACTTACCAAAAAAAATTAAAAAAAAAAAAAAATTCAGGGAGAACATTGACATTTCTTTGGTGAGGTCACTACACTGCCATAAGATAAAGGAAGGTTACTCTAATAATAGAAGTTCTATCTTAAGTAGCAGTTAAGTCAGGGACGAGGGTAGTGGGGGCGGGGCCGGTGGTTGTGGACAGTTTAAAATATATTTCTTTCTTTTTTTTTTTTTTTTTAATTTTCTCGTCTTTTCTTTATTTATATTTAAATTAAGATTTGGGATTTAAAAAAAAAAAATAAAAAAAAAAAAAAAAAAAAAAAAAAAAAAAAAAAAATAGAGAAAAAAAATTTAATAACTCAAAAAGAAACCAAAAAAAAAAAAAGGCGAATGAAATAAGATAAATCATCATCAATATTAAAGTGTAAACAGAAACGTTATTGGTGGTTTTGTTCTGGCTTTATCCGAGGGGGTGTGTCCCCAAAGATCTCCAAGCTGACTATACATAAGACTTCCCAAAAATAAAAATTTGTAAAATAAAGACTAAATCATAGGAAATATAATCACTAAGGAAAAAAATCTTTTTAAAGATATCATGACCTTATGACCTTATGAATATAATCTCATATGAAACCTTATAGTTTGTGGCCCTAAAAGTTTGTGGATCTAAACGTTTGTGGCCCCAACAGTGTGTGGTCTTAAAGGTTTGTGGTCCTAGCAGTTTGTGGTCCCCAAAGGTTTGTGGTCCCCAAAAGTTTGTGGTCCTAAAAATGTATGGCCCTAAAGGTATGTGGCCCTAAAAATTTGTGGTCCTAAGAGTTTGTGATCCTAAAAGTTTGTTTTCCTAGAAGTTTGTGGCCAAATGATCCGCGTTGAAATGTTCTGTCCAATTATTCGGCCGCCCAATGACGGCTTTTTTTAAAATAAAATCCACTGGTAAACACACTCTGCTGGATTTCAAGGCTATCCTAGGGGCGATGCAGCATCTGTCCATACCGATGGAACACGAAGACAACAAGCTGAGTGGGGAATTTATTCTCAGTCAAGAGGCGGATAAGATCGCTGAAGTGTCGCAAGTAAGCGGTAATTATATAATCACGGGATTCATTTGTCCCATGCGTTATACTTCTTAAAGGAGCAAAAAAAAAAAAAAGATCTAGATATTGAAGGGGGAAAAAAGTTGGGTATTGCATTAAAATATATAAGGTATATTTTGCCATGCATAGTAATGATATTTTTGATCTATTATGCGTAGAACGAGTTGGCCAAACCAATGTAAGTAAATGCATGGACTTATTTTATGTAGGAGTTTTGGGATCACTGCAAAAAGCTGTGGAGTGACCAGGGGGTTCAACAATGTTATTTGAGGTCCCACGAATACCAGCTCATGGATTCAGCAAAATAGTAAGTGTTATGTGTCAAGACTGATTTAATATCTTTAACATTACTTAAGTGGTTACATGTTCCCAAAATCATTACATTTCTTACAGGTGCTAAATTTCTTCCACCCCTTACATTCCTTTTAGTTACTATATTTCTCCCATCCATTACACTTGTTCCAGGTGCTAAATTTCTCCCACACATTAAATTTCTTCAAGGTTCTACATTTGACCCACCAGTTACATTTATTCCAGGTGCTACATTTCTCTCACCCATTACATTTCTTCAAGGTGATACATTTGACCCACTCATTATATTTTTTCAAGGTGCTACATTTCTCCCATCCATTACATTTCTTCAAGGTGCCACATTTCTCACACGCACTACATTGCACATAATTGTTACATTTTCAGTTCATATATTTTATCCATCCATTACATTTCTTCAAGGCACTACATTTGACACACCCATTAAATTTCTTCAAGGTGCTGCATTTCTCCCAACCATTACATTTCTTCAAGGTTCTACATTACACCCACCCATGACATTTTTTTCAGGTGCTACATTTCTCCCATCCATTACTTTTCTTCAAGGTTGCTGCATTTGACCCACTCATTACATTTTTCAAGGTGCTACATTTCAGCCACCCATTAAATTTCTTCCAGGTGCCACATTTCTCACACGCATTACATTTCACATAATTGTTACATTTTCATTTCATATATTTCACATACCCATTACAATTCTTCCAGGTGCTACATTTCTCCCCCTTAATTACATTTCACATAATCGTTACAGTTTCAGTTCCTACATTTCTCTATGTTGCCATATTTTAAACTGTATCTCCTCAAATCTGCAGCTGTTTCAAATAGGAGAGCTCAATGTTTCAAATAGGACAGCTCAATGTTTCAAATAGGACAGCTCAATGTTTCAAAAAGGACAGCTCAATGTTTCAAATAGGACAGCTCAGTTTTTCGAAAGTTCACTTTAATATATGATTTTTACTGCAATTAGCTGACATCAATTGCAGCGTTTCTCAGAGTGGTGGTCCACGAAATGGCACCGGTCCGCAAACTCGCACTAGTCCGCCAACTGGCACTGTCCGCAAACTGGCACTGGTCCGCCAACTGGCACTGATCCGCCAACTGAAACCGGTCCACGAACTGGCGCTGGTCCGCCAACTTGCACTGGTCCGCCAACTGGCACCGGTCCGCCAACTGACACCGGTCCACGAACTGGCACCGGTCCCCCAACTGGCAATGGTCCGCCAACTTGCACCGGTCCGCCAACTGGCACCGGTCCGCCAACTGACACCGGTCCACGACCTGGTACCGGTCCCCCAACTGGCAAAGGTCAGCCAACTTGCACGGTCCACCATCCAACTTGCACTGGTCCGCCAACTGGCACCGGTCCGCCAACTGACACCGGTCCACGAACTGGCACCGGTCCCCCAACTGGCAATGGTCCGCCAACTTGCACCAGTCCGCCAACTGGCACCGGTCCGCCAACTGACACCGGTCCACGAACTGGTACCGGTCCCCCAACTGGCAATGGTCAGCCAACTTGCACGGTCCACCAACTTGCCCTGGTCCGCCAACTGGCACGGGTCCGCCAGCCATAACGACCCGCACACCATGAGATAAGAAACTGGAAAAAGTAAAATAAAGTTAAAATAAGAAGTTAAATGACATATGACGGTTAACATTAAATTACAATCTGTAACAGAGTCCTCTGGTCTTGGCTGATCAAGGATAACATTATTATAGGAAATATTTAGGATATATATAGGAAATATTTAGGACATACGTAGTAAATATTAAGGACATATTTAGGACATACGCAGGGCATATTAGGACACATGTAAGACATTATGTAGGAAATATGTAGGACATGTTTAGGATATATGTAGGATATATGTAGGAAATATTTAAGAAATATGTAGGACACATTTAGGACATATGAAGGAAATATGTAGGACATGTTTAGGACATCTGTAGGACATATGTAGGATAAATGTAGGACATATTTAGGACATATGTATGACATATTTAAGACATATGAAGGAAATATATAGGACATGTTTAGGACATATGTACGACATGTTTAGGGTTAGTAAGAAAGATTATAATAAATAACGCATCTGTTTTAAAGGGAAACTTATCTACTGGTCCTTGGTGCAACGGTAAACTTATCCACCGGTCCATAGCTTAACGGAAAACTTATACACCGGTCCCTGGTGCAATGAAAATCATATCCACCGGTCCCTGATTTAATATAAACTTATCCATCGGTCCTTGGTTCAATGGGAAACTTATCCACCGGTCCCAGGTTTAATGGGAAACTTATCCACAGGTCACTGGTTCAATGAAAAACTTTACCACCGGTCCCTGGTTCAATGGGAAGCATTTTCACCGGTCCCTGGTTCAATAGGCAACTTATCCACCGGTCCCTGGTTTGATGGGAAACTTATCCACCGGTCCATGGTTCAATTGGCAACTTATCCACCGGTACCTGGTTTAATGGGAAACTTATCCACCGGTACCTGGTTTAATGGGAAACTTATCCACCGGTCCCAGGTTTAATGGGCAACTTATCCACCGGTCCCTGGGTCAATGGGCAACTTATCCACCGGTCCCTGGTTTAATGGGCAACTTATCCACCGGTCCTTGGGTCAATGGGCAACTTATCCACCGGTCCCTGGGTCAATGGGCAACTTATCCACCGGTCCACCAACCAGGCTTGGGAAAGTCTGATGGATAGGATAGGCAAGATATCTATTCCCAAGTAAAATCTGTCTTGTGCTGCACACCACACAACAGTAGTAAACCTACCGTATCCTGTACGTGTACTTGTTTCGAAACCTAAGGTAGATCTCTAATCTATCACAAGCATGTTGACATGGGGCACACACACAAAAAAACAACAACAAAAAACAAACTTTCTCTTTCAATGAAATATATGGTCAATCTATGGCCGCCTTATCAGCTTGTTGTGTGTGTCTAAGGAGGGTCCTCTACTGATAACCGGCTTGGCGAGTTTTAAAGATGTTGGGGACACTTGCAGATACCAAACACAAATAGAAGAAAGAATTCACAACGAACTACATGCACACGAGGATTTAGCGGCACACGCCTGAAATAGCTGATGTGTGTGTGTGTTATTTAGTCCAGTGTGGATGGGTCATGGCTATGAAGGTCCAGTCTATATAGGTCAAGTGCGTCTGGGGTCTGTGTTTGTTGTTTCCAATTTATGTAGATTTAGTATGAGTAGGTCTAATGTACGTTGTTATAGTGTGGGGTGGGTCTTTTCTATTTAAGGTCCAGTCTATGTAGGCTGTGTATCTAGGGTATGTCATTGTAGTTCCATTGTATGTCGTTTCAATGTGTGTAGTGTCAATGTGTGTAGTGTCAATGTGTGTAGATTCAATTTACGTAACTTTATTTGTATGTAGCTTCAATATAAGTAGCTCCAATGTATTTTTCCAATGTATGTAGTTCCAGTATGTGTAGGTCCAATGTATGTGAACATATTGAACTAAGACCCCTGGTTGTAGTACAACCTCTACCGTGGATTTTATTCCACCCTAACTTTACGTCCAATCTCCTACAAAGTTTAATTTATTTCGTACGTCCAATATCACTACGATCTATACACTTACCTAAACCACTCAGTTGCAATAGTTTCTAATCATAAGCCTAATTTAAATGCATTTGTGTCGAATTCAGGTGTTGACATATTTTCAACGGTTTTTCTTTAGTTGGCACGAGTAAATCTTATCAATCTATTTCGGGTGCTTGTATCCACAGCTCAAAATTTAAAAAAAAGCCTCATACAACATATGATTTATGTTTTCTTCTTGTGTACTTTCAGTTTTCTGGATAAAGTTGATGAACTGCGTACACCCAACTATGCCCCATCAGATCAGGTGAGGGACAAAAAATAAAGACATTTGCAAAGCTAAGCGTTATTTTGTTTATGTTTAATGTTCATTTTGTTTGTGCACTACCGGTGTTTACTGAAGATTTACACAAAAAGATATTGTCAGCTGTTACATGCATTCCTTGAAAATCACTAATTTGTCACATATTATTCACCTTCTCGCTATGTCATGTTGAATATGTTCACCATTTTATCGCAGAAGTTAACTAATAAGAGAGTTGTTCACAATTTTATCGCAGAAGCTAGCTAATAAGAGAGTTTTTCACCATTTTATCGCAGAAGTTAGCTAATAAGAGAGGTGTTCACCATTTTATCACAGAAGTTAACTAATAAGAGAGTTTTTCACCATTTTATCACAGAAGTTAGCTAATAAGAGAGTTGTTCCCCATTTTATCACAGAAGTTAGCTAATAAGAGAGTTGTTCACCATTTTATCACATAACTTAGCTAATAAGAGAGTTGTTCACAATTTTATCACAGAAGTTAGCTAATAAGAGAGTTGCTCACCATTTTATCACAGAAGTTAGCTAATAAGAGAGTTGTTCACCATTTTATCGCAGAAGTTAACTAATAAGAGAGTTGTTCACCATTTTATCACAGAAGTTAGCTAATAAGAGAGTTGTTCACCATTTTATCACAGAAGTTAGCTAATAAGAGAGTTGTTCACCATTTTATCACTGAAGTTAACTAATAAGAGAGTTGTTCACCATTTTATCACAGAAGTTAGCTAATAAGAGAGTTGTTCAACATTTTATCACAGAAGTTAACTAATAAGAGAGTTGTTCACCATTTTATCACAGAAGTTAGCTAATAAGAGAGTTGTTCACCATTTTATCACAGAAGTTAACTAATAAGAGAGTTGTTCACCATTTTATCACAGAAGTTAGCTAATAAGAGAGTTGTTCAACATTTTATCACAGAAGTTAGCTAATAAGAGAGTTGTGTGTTTTTTGAGTTGGAGGGAGAGGGATATAACTAAAAATGTTCAATAAATTTTGATACAAACTTACTTTTTTTTAGAAGTGGATTTAAAAAAAAAACAACAACAACAAAAAACCAACTAAATTCCCATTTAAAGAACAAATCATAGACTGTTAGAGAGTACATCACACAAAATGTCTTTGGCACTAGAACACAATCTCAGCTATTCCGTCTCTCCCCTGACAGGATATTCTTAGATGCCGAGCCATCACCACGTCCATTCAGAAGATTGAGTTTGAGGTGCCGGATGCAGGGCGAAATGTCAAATTTAGGTGAGGACGCTCGAGCCCGCCAACAATTGTGTGTGTGTTCTGCTGACATATTTTCGTGTTAGGTTTTTTTTGCGATTTTATAACAAAGCCTCTAGCAAGGAACAACTTGTTTCTTTAATAACAAACCTCTAGCTAAGGACAAATTATGTTCTTTTATAACAAAACCCTAGCTAAGGATTACTTAAGTTCTTTTATAACAAGCCTCTAGCTCGGAACAAGCTAAGTTTTGATTACAATCCTTTAGCAAGGGACAACTTATGTTCTTTCATAACAAGCCTCTAGCTAGGGACAACTTAGTTCTTTTATAACAAGCCTCTAGCTAAGTAAAAACTTTTAATAACAAAGCCACTATCTAGGGACAGCTTAAGTTCTTTTATAACAAGCCACTACCTAGGGACAACGTCAGGTCTTTTTTAAAACGCCTCTAGCTATGATCTTTTTTTGTTCTTTTATAACACGACTCCAGCTATGCACTACTTAAGTTCGTTTATAACAAGCCTCAAGCTGTGATCGGTTTTAGCTCTTTCATGACAAGCCTCCTGCCATGCACTACTGAAGTCCTTTAGCCCTTATATTCATTAATGCTAGTGCACTTGTGGCAAGAATTACACCAAGGGAATGAACACGAGATTTAGATTTAAATAATGATTACTGTTTGGTCTCCCTTAGCATATCTTTCGAGATGGTAGGTCGTGTTACCGTTACAACATCACCCAAGCCTTTCATAATATTGATTTGCCTTTTATCTGTCACTGATACCTTTATTTACAAATGTACACGTGTACTGTATTTTTGCATTTTCGACTGCAGTGTGTACGATGTCGGAGGACAGAGAGGCGAACGGAAGAAGTGGATCCAGGTATTCGACAATGTCGTCGCCATCTTGTATCTGGCGGATACTTCCGGTTTCGACCAATGTCTGAGAGAAGATCACAGCAAGAATAGGTTGATTGAGTCCATGGAAATCTTCGAACAGGTTTGGAATAATAGGTACACACTAGTATTTGACAGGTTTGAAATGAAAGGTACATAGTTGTATTTGACAGGTTTGAAATGAAAGGTGCATAGTTGTATTTGACAGGTTTGAAATGACAGGTGCATAGTTGCATTTGACAGGTTTGAAATGACAGGTGCATAGTTGCATTTGACGGGTTTGTTTCAAGGAGCAGTTGCGAATAGTTGTAGTTGACACATGTCTGACATTAAATATATGCTCAAAATGACTCGATGATACTGCAGAGGTCGCTTTCAAGCTATATTAAAAGGAAATATGTGTCACCCCTGTTAAGAGAAAGGACCAATAAACGTCGGACCTCCAGGTTGATTTTTATCCCGTTTAAACGACCGAGCGATCTTTCTCCTCCGTGATCATTTACAGGCACCACCATGGCAAACCGGGGGCGAAGTGCCAAAATTTGGGGAACCATCTTCGGTATTAAAATTACATTCTCCATCGATTGGAGAGTATAGCGATTGGAGAGTATAGCGATTGGAGAGTATAGCGATTGGAGAGTATAGCGATTGGAGAGTATAGCGATTGGAGAGTATAGCGATTGGAGAGTATAGCGATTGGAGAGTATAGCGATTGGAGAGTATAGCGATTGGAGAGTATAGCGATTGGAGAGTATAGCGATTGGAGAGTATAGCGATTGGAGAGTATAGCGATTGGAGAGTATAGCCGTTGCTGTTTCAGGCGGTGAGAGGTGTGTTTCAAAAAATTACGTCATTGTACCGATTCGTTGTTAAGTTCATTATTTACGTCAGCTGAGAACAAATTCCACAAACTCTTTTATCGATAATAAAGGATACCATTTTCTTAGCCCCAAATCAGCGAAGATGACGTCAACTGAGTCAAAAGAATCTCCAGTCTTAAATTTGTTGATCCCCAAAATTTCTAGGAAAGAAAAAATGAAGGTTTTGATACAAACCCTATTTAAAAATAAGTCTTTCCAATAGATTCTTTATTTTTAGAGCTTTTGAAGAGTATTGTCACCAAGAGCTTGTTAATTTGTTTTTTTTTAAAACGTGTTGCACAAGTTGTCAGTTCCAGCCTGGGCTCACTCGTGGTCTGAAAGTGATGGATGGTGGTCTGAAAGTAATCGCTCGCGGTCTGTAAGTAATTGCTCGTGGTCTGTAAGTAATTGCTCGTGGTCTGTAAGTAATTGCTCGTGGTCTGTAAGTAAATTGCTCGTGGTCTGTAAGTAATTGCTCGTGGTCTGAAAGTAATTGCTCATTGTCTGTAAGTAATTGCTCGTGGTCTGTAAGTAATTGCTCGTGGTCTGTAAGTAATTGCTTGTGGTCTGTAAGTAATTGCTCGTGGTCTGAAAGTGATGACTCGTGGTCTGAAAGTGATGACTCGTGGTCTGAAAGTGATGACTCGTGGTCTGAAAGTGATGACTCGTGGTCTGAAAGTGATGACTCGTGGTCTGAAAGTGATGACTCGTGGTCTGAAAGTCTATTTATATGGGATCGCGAATCAAAACCTCAGTTTGTGAGATCATTCACACTGCTTGAAATAAAAAGTTTCTAAGCAATGCAAAGTAGGCGCCCATTTGAGAATAACGACTTTTTTAAAGCAAATGTCTTTTTTTTTAAAAATCTTTGTTTGGTGTCACGGTAAAAAAAAAAAAAATTGAACTATCGTCAAGCTTTCCTTTAAGTGTAAATCAATTTTACTTTCATTTCACGGTTTTCAAAATTGATATAGAATGTAGAAACCATCGTGATTACGACATTGCTCGGGTCCCATCTGCAGCAAATAGCCGACCTACGCCTCTGTTCACTGTGTCAAGAGCACTATTCGTTAATGCCGACGGCTATTTATTATGTTTCTTGATTAAACGTTGCAGTGTAAACTGTTCGAAACTTACATTTAAATTGATCAACTCCAGAAAACCAAGTTTGTCTTATAAAATCCTCTATAAAATGCAATGTCGAGCAATTGGGCGGGAATGGGGGCTGAAAATTTGACAAAACATGCAAACATGTATGAGGGGAAGAATGTGGTGAGACGGGGTTCGATGGACTTGAATGAATACCTTCAAAGCTCCAACATCATGGGCTGCGTTGAGCAAAGATTTCGTTTAATTAAATAAAGGAATATTAATGTGATTCATTAGTACAAGGGCCGGAGAATAAGAGCAATGGACGAGGGCGGCGGCCCCCACGAGCCAAAGGTCGGGCACTTCTGGTTGATGTTGGTAGGAGGGGGGAGTCCCGTGTCCACATATGCACAATGGGAAACACAAACCTATTAGAGGGTTATTTATTATTTTTTTTTTCAATTTCAATTCTCTCAAACCCACAGCTCCCCGTGACACATTGTCTCAGTCTCAAGTTTCTACCTCCTATCACCCTTTGCGCCCCCCTCCCCGACCTGGCACTCACCAATACAGAATAATTGACCCACAGCTGTTTCCCCAATTCTGTCCTGGAAATTATTCCATTCCGTTAAGAGCGGGGGCCAATCACATCTCTGCTGGGAGAGACGGGGTGGCTCCAAATAAATATGGCTCTTTTTTTTTCTTTTTTTTTTTTTTTGTTGTTTGAATTCAATTTAACGATCAGTGAGACATATCAGTTACACGTAGCTAAATTAACTTATTAATGACATGGTATATCAGAACTGAAACATCAAAAATTTATGGAAATAGAGGACCTTTTCGTACAATCTATGACCTTTTCTTACAATCTATGACCTTTTCTTACAATCTATGACCTTTTCTTACAATCTATGACCTTTTCTTACAACCTTTTCGTACAATCTATGACCTTTTCTTACAATCTATGACCTTTTCTTACAATCTATGACCTCTTCTTACAATCTATGACCTTTTCTTACAATCTATGACCTTTCTTATAATCTATGGCCTTTTCTTACAATCTATGACCTCTTCTTACAATCTATGACCTCTCCTTACAATCTATGACCTTTCCTTACAATCTATGACCTTTTCTTACAATCTATGACCTCGTCTTACAATCTATGACCTTTCCTTACAATCTATGGCAATTTTTAATGACAGTTCTATTCTAGAGACTTCTTTTCTGCTTACATTTCCATCTTGTGGATGGAGCGTTATCTTTTTGTTGACACACGTGACACTTGCGTTCAGTTGATCGTTCTCTCGCGGAGTGGTCACCTGAAAGGTGTTGAGCGTCTCGTTGCAGTTAAGTTCTTCAACATCGAGTTTAGGCGAGTTAAAGCCCACTAACAAGTCGGAATTTTTTTAAAATTTCTTTCTGAACTGCATTACTTGGTGCAGAAGTGTAGATGAGCACTCTATGTAGCCAACGGAATCGAATTGAGTGTACACAAAACTTTAAAAATATATTTTGTTTTATTAATTTTTGAAAATGCTTTCTGCACAGACTTTCTTTTTAAATATATAAATAAATATATATATATATATATATATATATATATATATACAATCTAAATCATCAACTTGACGCGTAGATTTGAAACAATACCAACTTCAGAGAGCGTAGTACAAGTTAGTTAAAACGTAAAACAAAAACGGTTAAGGGGCGAAAAGTTCGGACTATTACTGACAATGTTGTTTCCTACAGCACACATAAAAATACTGACAATGTTGTATTTGTACGTTATTCCAACCCGTTTTTTTTTTAATCTTTGAACCCCCTCCTCATCATGTACACCCCTTTTCACCATGAACACACCTTTCCAATCTGTGAACCTCTTCCCGTCATGTACACCCCGACATATCTGTACAACCCTTTCCATCATGTACACATAATCCCATCATGTACACCCCTTTTCAGCCGTATACTTCTCCACCATCTGTTCACCCTTTACCATATGTACACCATTCCCAAATCTTTCTTTACACCCCGACCCTCTGTCCACTATTCCCCAATGTGTCTGTCCCCCCCCCCCCCCCCCCCCCCCCCCCNCAACGAGGTTAAGCAGTGAACAGAGAATGAATCTGTCATGACGTACAACGAGGTTAAGCAGTGAACAGAGAATGAATCTGTCATGACGTACAACGAGGTTAAGCAGTGAACAGAGAATGAATCTGTCATGACGTACAACGAGGTTAAGCAGTGAACAGAGAATGAATCTGTCATGACGTACAACGAGGTTAAGCAGTGAACAGAGAATGAATCTGTCATGACGTACAACGAGGTTAAGCAGTGAACAGAGAATGAATCTGTCATGACGTACAACGAGGTTAAGCAGTGAACAGAGAATGAATCTGTCATGACGTACAACGAGGTTAAGCAGTGAACAGAGAATGAATCTGTCATGACGTACAACGAGGTTAAGCAGTGAACAGAGAATGAATCTGTCATGACGTACAACGAGGTTAAGCAGTGAACAGAGAATGAATCTGTCATGACGTACAACGAGGTTAAGCAGTGAACAGAGAATGAATCTGTCATGACGTACAACGAGGTTAAGCAGTGAACAGAGAATGAATCTGTCATGACGTACAACGAGGTTAAGCAGTGAACAGAGAATGAATCTGTCATGACGTACAACGAGGTTAAGCAGTGAACAGAGAATGAATCTGTCATGACCTACAACGATGTTAAGTCTTGCACAGAGAATAAAGCTGTCACGATGGACAAGTCGAGTAAAGGGAAAAAATCAACTACGCTTTGGCCCTAAAGTCGTCAACATTTCACTCCCCCCCCCACCCGGCCGTTTTTTTTCATGTTTCATAATTTAATTACAAATCATTAATTTAATTACTCTTACAATATATTAATTCATTTGTGACAGGGTCGTCACGTGACTTTGGGAGGTCCCTGGGACATCAATTAGTTGTTGTTTTTTGTGTGTTTAAAACTCTATTAATTGTGTTCCACATCAAACATTTGGGCCCTTTAAATATCTGAGGCCGTCATCGCTTGCAGTGCCCACGTGACGATTTGCAGTAGAGCATCATACATTTTATTTTGGAAATGTTTACTGAGAGAATCTTTTAGGACACGTAACGTCACGTATATTATTTCCAT